AGGTACCCTTGGAGATATGGATATTTTCTGAAACTAGACGTTTTGAACAATTTTTCTGTCAGCTTTCTGAAGAATTAACAAATCTCAAGCCCTCATCGGAATGGAAATTCCAAGGGGTGGGAAGTATAAAGCAAAAGTGCCCTTCGTGGGGTTCTGGATATTTTCTGGAATTACAAATTTACTAGAACGTTTTCTGTCAACTTTATGAACAATTAAAAATATCACATTTAAAATTGTGGCAAACAATATGAAATATGCGTGGCGTGTGCTCTTGGAAAATTTTAAGAGTACTAATTTATTCCTAATTGCACTAGAAAAATCATATGATTGCTTGTCTAATTGTAAACTTGGGAAAATTTGAGTCTCTTTTCATGTTAACGTGTCATCGCCCCCTTTTCCCGCCTACAAATGATAAACTCGACCAAGATTGGTCAAAATGTTGACAGGTGCATTTGGTGCATAAAAACGGACCAGCTAGAAATTTGCTTACGGTCAACCGAAGCCTTTCTGTCATATCACGTTTAACTTAACAGTTTGCTGTGTCCAAAAAAGTAGGGGACTTGCCGTCTTGGTCGATACAGCTGGATAGCTCAGGGACTACCCTAACAGTGGGTGAGTGGATCGGGCGTGGGGGGGGGGGGGAAAAATGTTTGGAGGTTGCTTTGGTTCAAAAAAAGGGAACAGTCTGAAATTTGCTTACGGTCAACCGAAGCCTTTTGGTTATATCACGTTTAACTTAACAGTTTGCGGTGTCCAAAAAAGTAGGGGACTTGCCGTCTTGGGCGATACAGCTGGATAGCTCAGGGACTACCCTAAGAGTGGGGGAGGGGGTCGGGGGGGGGGGGGGGGGGACTAGTGGAGTAAGGTGGGGGCTAATTTGACACAACCTCTTCAGTAAGCAGCAATGTGCACTAGAGGCTTTGACAGGCAAGTACCTTGTTCTTACTTTGCCCTAGCCAGCTGAACTAGGCCTCTGCTGAGATCGACTATCATGATAATCGAAGAGCTCAGTGGGAGGCGCAGACAGTCACCCATTGTCCTGGGTGGGGAGGGTCAAAGTCTTGGTACCAACGACATACTTAGCATAGGACCTGTAGACACTCACTGAAGTCATGTTTACATAAATTCAGTCAGACATAATTTAGCAATTAATGAATGAGGCTGAGTAGGATATGAAGAATTAAGCGGATCGAGGAGGGTGTTATCCATAGAGGCCGAAGGCCGTAGTAAATAACACCCTCCGAGATCTGCTTAACTCTTCATATCCTACAAAGGCCGAATTCATTAATTGCTTTATTATTCATTCAAAATAATTCCTAGTTTAAAAACTTAGCGGAAACATGCTTACCTGCATCGATGTTAAGTTTATCTTCGATAGTGTACGTTTAGGTTTGTCCAGCTCCGCAAATATTTTCCACATAGCAGATGTCGCCCTTTGAGTTGTCTTCTCGCCGTTTTTGCTATGTTTTTAGTCATTATTTCGCCTAGTGCCAGCTGTAGTTCTTACTCGTGAAACGAGTGAAGTGTCCCCCGTTTTAGTTTTCACAACGAAAACAACTCAACCTCGTGCCCAGGTCTTCTCGGTTAACGGTGCATTAACCTGTAGAAGGCTGCATTTTTTGACGTCATTTCCTCGTCAAACACAAAATTCTTCCAAATTTGGTCATCAGTAACTGGTTATGGTGAATTATGCGTGTGCTTTTAGCCTATCAGAATCGGGGAAATATTTTGAATGAATAATAATGATGATTATCATACTGGTGAAAAGCTGTGAAACTCAAGGCGCAAGTCGATACTTGAAGGTTTTTTTTGTCTGTTTTGTTTTGTTTGTTTTTTGGGTTTTTTTTGCAGGCGTTTAAAGAGCCCTTGTACATTACAGACCTTTTACAAAGAGCCAAAGCAGTCGTGTCCAAAAATGACTTGACACTGAGGGTGTCTTTGCCTCTTGATTTTGCTTTACCGATAGAAGGCACAGTTAAGTACCCTTATCACAACTGCGATTTCCGTCCATTCGTTATCAGGAACAGAAATTAGTCTTTACCATGACACCACTGAACATCCGCGTAGGCAGAGATTTGGAGAACGGGCAGCTGAAAGGTCGTGTTCTTCCAAGAGCAAGGGTGAAAATCATCATTCTACACAGCACCTGTCTACAGTTGGAACAACCTGTACGCGTATATGTTCTGTCTTGCCTGGAATGCTCATTTAGAACCGCAAGAGGGAATCGTCTCAGGAACCATTTAAGAAAGAAACAGCCAAACAGCCAAGAAGTTCCAAGCGGTCACTTTCTGGAACAAGCGGGTGCTAAGACAATTCCAATAAGAGCCTTAAAATGTAGTTTTTGTAATACCAATGAGTTAAGAAGAGATATTCTTTGTGGTGTAACCACAGATATTCTCAGTATTGAGAGTTTAGTCCTTATACCACTGACTTGGATCAGTCGGGTTGGGTATGCTTGCTTGATAGAGATATTGTTAATAATGTAACCACAAGGGTACAGATATTTTCTGAGTTAGAAGTTTAATCTTTGTAGTACCACTGAATTTAATCAGTCGGGTATAATTTATAGAGATATTCTCAGTGGGAGTATAATTGATTGAGATATTCCTAGTGATGTAGCAACTATAAATTCTATCAAACTGTTTTAGATGTAACAAGAGTATCCAATCAGAAATAAACTTGACCAAAAGAAATAGTCACAACCTCGTCGCCAGGGCGCTTTTCCATGGCTTTGGCCGCCTCCAAAGCCAGGGAAAAGCGCCCTGGGGACGAGGTTGGAAATATTCAGAGAGAGTATGAGAAATGAACTGTTTTATGATTCAGCCGTGTTAGGCGGACGTGATAACCACTACACTACGGAAACCAAAAAAGGTGGTAAATTAAATTGTTTAAATAAAGTCAATGCATATGAAAAAAATTTTGATCTGACTTGCCGCGTACTGACAGAACAAAAAACAAGGGAATATAATGCAACTATCTCAGAAAATGAAGCACTGTGCTGGCTATAAAATAAAGTACATAAGAGATACATGAGAAGAAACCCAGATGCCGAAAACCCGCCAAGCCATTCTCAAAATACTAGATATTTCCGCGGCAGTTTGAAATTAACCCCCAATTTTTTTTGAGAACCAGTTGGATATTTGTTCAAGTGTCGAACGATTTCATACGTGACCTTGGGATTGAATCCGGGGGGAGGGGGGCTTCCTATAATGGGCAATCAAAGGGAGACTCCGCCCGAGAGGGGTACATGTTCAGGCTTTAGGTATATGAAAGGGTAGGGACTTTACTAGAGGAAGTATACGAAAGTTTAGGGAAATCTGTTATTTTGGTCTGTTGAAAGGCCCAAAAGAACTAACAGATGCCGATTTTGGGAAGCATACGTAAGTGGTTTGTGGTTTATTTCACTGGGACCTGAGATATCAGAGAGACAATGAGAAGTGTAATAAAAATACTCAATCTGTATTTCGTAACTGTACATTAAAATAATTTCTGTTCCAAGACAGGTCGCTATCAAATATAACCATAAAATGGATAATTATGAAAATAAAGGGTTAGAACGCTCATTGGAAGTTTTGTACTATTTCAACAAATAGAAAAATATTTTTTTTCCTTTGTTTTGTCGTAACACGCATATATCTAACCGGTAAACAGCGTAATAAATTTCAATTATTAAATAGTTAATTCCTATAAGTAAGGACCTACTTAAGTACGCATCCGCGCTATCAGCAGAAAACTATTTACAAACTTATTTCTAGCCACCTACAGCGAACGCTTAGCGACTTCACTGGAGCGCGTTCCATTTCTACGAGAAAAGGTAGCCTAGTGAATTTTTAGACGATTACCTCGAGTCGTTTTTACTTCAGGTTACGAGAAAAGGTTTTTTTGATGGAAATTCAAATGAAACAGTTGTTTCGACAGAAAATTTATACAGTAAGGAGTACCTTCGGAGTTATTCCATTTTCTTCGTTTTAAACATTTTGCTTTATTACATTAGTAGACTGAAAATTAAAAAGATCTGTTTCAGCCCCAAACTGCCAAGCACCATCAAAACCCTATTCCAGCCAACGCTGGAACTCATTACAGCCATTGGGTCCGAATCAGCACTAGGTGATAGGACTGTATTGGCCCTGATTAAAACAGCACTCATCGAAGCGGTCCCATTTTTAGGGGCCAAAACAGACTTTCTGATTTACTGTTTACCAAAGAAATTTCCAGAAGTAATAATTCTGCGGCTTGCTAATCATGTTTAGTTTCTTTATGTATCTATGTTCTTGTAAAAAAATATCAGTGTTCGGGGGGTTCCCTAAGTTAATACTCCAATTTTCATATTCAAATGACTTCAGTGCACTATTTTACAGAATGTTCAGCTGGCCTTCGCAAAACTTAGAGCGAAACTAGCCAATTATAAATACATTCATAACCAACACACAACCTTTCAAGTGCACATTAATTTTACAAGTTGCACTACTAACAGTCTAAGTTTGACTTCTGTTTTTACAAACTAATGTACTAACAAGTCTTTGAAATCTTGTCACGTTTCCCATCACTTTTAGAACTTTAAAGGGTTCCATATAATACACAACTAAGAAAAAGCCCTGTTCGTTTGGAGGCGAAATAGTGCAGCTTCAAAGGAAAGGGATAAAATCGTGTTACTTAAACAGCGTCGGAGGAACGAAAAATTAAAAATGGAAACCTACCCGTAACTTCTCTCTACAACGGCCATTTTTTTTGGCGGACAGTCCATACATTGACTCTTGTTTAAAGCTCTCTACAATGGCCACTTTCTCCTGTCCCCAAGGTGGCCCTTGTGGAGAGGTTCAACTGTATAAAAAAAATCACGATATTTATAAAATCTTGCTACTGTACACAGTTCATTTAGAACCAACCTAACAAAATCTTCCTAGGTAACCCTCAGTCTGAGTGAATAGGCAGCGTTTACGAGAAGGCAAGATGGGCACATCTTGCTCTTCCAAAAATAGAGATATAATCCCCGAGACAGGCTATACACTGGCTAAATGGGAAGATAATTTCTTGACTTCCTCCATAATTCTTAATCTCGGCCCCAGTGGAATTCCTAAACTCTGCAGTCTTTCTTCCGTCATGTATGACATTTCTAATATTCCAACTTGCTCTGCCTCGAAATTATCCGCAAATCTCTGTTACAAAAAAAAAAGAAAGAAAAATCTATCTTTAATACTGAGAAAACCAATTCAAATACTCATCAAACAGTCGCGACAGAAAAAACAACATAAATAGGCCCTTATCGGTAAACAGTCACATGGAATTAAAACTCCTCGCTGGCGTACAGTGGACATTGAGAAGAGAGAAAATTAAGCTTTTCAGTAACGTAATTTCTTTATTTTCTTTCCCCAATGCTTGTCCAACTCTTCAGGCAAAGTGGTTTTGTACCATGTAACTGTTAATCCACAAAGGGTCAAATAGTTGACATTATTATTCATTCAAAATATTTCTCCGTTTCTGATCGACTAAAAGCACACGAATAATTCACCATAACCAGGAACTGTTGACCAAATTTGGAAGAATTTTGCGATTAAACAACCGATGACGTCAAAAGTGCAGCTCAGTTGCAGGTTAATACACCGTTAACCGAGAAGACCTTGGGACGAGGTTGAGTTGTTTTGGTTGTGAAAAGAAAAATGGCCGAACAGTCGGCGGAACATTTTACTCATTTCACGACGAACATAGCAAGAAGACAACTCGAAGGACAACATCTGTTTTTTGGAGTATATTTCCAGACCGGAACAGCCCTTTTTCTTCTAAACATACACCATAAACGAGAACTTAACACCGACGAAGGTAAGCATGTTTTAGCTTGTTTTTTAAACTAGGAGTTGAATAATAAGGAAATTAATGAATTCGGCTTTCGTAGGATATAAAGAATTATGCAGATCTTGGAGGGTGTTATCAGCCTCGGCCGCCCCTCCTCGATATGCATAATTCTTCATATCCTTCTAAATAATTTGACAATTTGTCGTTAACTATGATTAAAAGGTCTGAATTTGCATTTCGATGTTCTTGGACATAAATGACGAAATCCTTGTGATTACTAAAGGTAAAAAAGAATGGACAAGTTTAGAGTAAAAGTTGCAGATGAGTAACAGACTGTTGCATGAACGGCGAAAGCAATAGAAACCTTCCTCGTTAACTACGAACGCGTTACATAAAAGGAATGTTTGTAAATTATGTTACCTCATATCCAAGCTTCTTCAGGAAGATTGCCAGGAGTGGAGGGTCCTCGCCGAAAAAACTACATTGAATGAAAAAAATCAACGAATCAATAGCAGTTTTTATGTACTTGTTTCACAACTTCATTGAACTTGTAACGTGTAGCTTCTCTACATGGAATTGGCTCTAAAAGGAACATCTGTGGCAGGATATCCGTGCACAGGTCAAACCTGACAGTGCCTGTATTCATCCTATCCGGGTAACCTATTTCGCCAAGTTTGGATGAATGTTGAACCCTCATTTGGGTGACTGGCCACAAAATGGTTGTTACTAACGTTCGTTTTTATTTTTATTTAATTTTTCTGTTTTTGTTGTTTTTTCTCCCCCCCGAAGACATATCATGTGATGAATAATCAACACATTCGTTACACTCAACTAGCTTAAAAGTTCTTTCGGCTCGTCACGCAACGACACCTCTTGAACGGAATACGTGACGTCCCAAAATAACGCCCTCGTAGGAGCCTAAGATAGAATGCGAATTTTGCAATTCAATGGTTAAGACGCAGACGCACCTTCTGAGTTTCTTAACGCGTGACTGAAGCATAGCACTTTCCTTAGCAGGATCACTGTCTTCCTCGGGCTTGTATTGTTGAGCATTCACTTGTCTTCTCATATCATCCATATCTTGGCTTATTGAGGCCTGGGAGCGTAATTCTGAAGACAAATGCGCCACACTTCTGGCTAAGGTTACTACGTGAGATTCTAAGCGGCTGAATCGTTTGTTCACTGCCCTGTTTGAAAAGAGCAGGGAGAAAAATATGTCATGAAGAAGTCTTTCGACTATGAACTGAACAATCAATGATAATATTCACAAGTGAACAGAACAAAGCTGCATACCGTTAATGATCTAATAGACGCCCCGGGCGTCTATTTTATGTTTCGATTCCAAGCAGTAGTCTCCGGCCTTCGTAGCCACTCGGGCCGGGGCATGAGGGCGGGGAGCATCGCGTGACTGTGACCGAGCGGCTCGGAAAGAGACCACCTATAGCGGTAGACTGCGAACATTCTCTCTTTTCTTCAGATTTAGACAGGGGAGTGCACGCTTGCGGAGGCCTCGAGATGAGAGAAGCGAGGGCGCCTCTTCCTTCTCGTGACTTCAGTCACGCGCGTGGTTATTAGCGTGTCTCGCGCGTTTTACTCGAAATCGCCTTATAAGTTTTTAAGTTTTTTTTTTGACGGAACAAGGAAAAGAGAGACTGCTCGTAGTCTACTAGAGCGGTGACGTTTAATAGATAATAGGCGTTTAAAAGAGAGAGGCGTTCATTTTCATTTACAAGGGTAACAAACTCCACAAACCCAATTCTTGGGTTGCACGTGACGTCACCAAAAATCAAACTAAGAAACTATCGATTCTTCTGAGTTTCTACTTTCACGAGGTATTACAGTACCTAAACACCTTTACATAAAAAAGTTTTTGGTTCGAAAGGGTTCTTCGTTTTGCGAGAGAGGACTCTTGAATTCCCAGGCCTTTGCGTGACGCGGCATTTAGATGGCGGCCGGGAAAGCTCTTACGAGGGTTAAAACATAACCGATTTTGGGAGATTTTGCAATGTAAACATTCCTTGTCTCAGAATAAATATTACTGTAATTTTTATGAGTTCCTCAAGCGAAGAATTCACGCATTAGTAGGAAAACTAGAAAACAGATGTTCTGTTGGTATCCGGCGGCCATATTGGTGTTCCTGAAAGGGACACCAACATGGCGTTTCCATACAAAGCTTTATAAATTTAAGTAAACCGTTTTTCCCGATATCTCGCATTTGAAATATTTCACAGACCTGATTCTTGGCAAGGGTTTTTGTATATTTATCTTTTTTTATTTCACAGATTCTATTCCTTCTATATTGAATGGTTTGCATTTTTATTTTTCATTGCGTGACAGTGCAAGCCAAGAATATGCTTTCAGCCAATACGTCAGCACAGTATATAAATAGCAAACTATCCAGTCCATTCATTAATATCTCTAAGCCTTGTAGAGATCCATTTCGTTTTATAAACCTGTACTTCCATGTCAGAATCCTTACTTTGAACTTGACATTAAACAAAATGCAATGCGCAAACTTGTGTTAATGAAACAAGACAATGAATCAATTGAATGATTTCGATCTATTTCACTATTCCACTACTGGAACAACTGTCATGCGGGGCGTTTATTACAGAGAGGCGTCTAATACAAACGTAAAAGCGCAGCGGGCGTATATGAGACAAGCAGGCATCCCAGCCACTTTTTGGAAAATTCTGTGGGATAAATAGGCTGTTCAAGTTCAAAATATAGGAAAATATTGGAATTTTCTGCCAAAATATTGACTCTTTAAAGGAAAAGAATAATAATAATAAAAAAATTCTACATTTACTGATAAAGAATTTTGATTTTGTAAATTGCTTCACAGAGCAGATACCAGAATATGTCCTATCTATAGGAAATATAGGAGGATTTCTTGAAATGTTTAAAATAGGGCATCTATTAGTTCACTTAAGGTATTGCATATTGTACTCTCAACCTGGTCTACCAATCCATGACTGGTTCCAGACAGACCGAACATCCTACATATGTAACGACGTGCCAATTGCTTGTTCCATCATTGTCCATCCCAGCGGCTAGACTCTCTTTACGTTACATTATGGATGCAGCATTTTAAAATAAAATAAAGGAGAGCTCAGTTGTTAGTTTTCTTCTTTGCCTGATTTGTGTAGTATATCGCAAATTTATATCTTACTTGATATCTTTGTTCCTTTGTTTCTTATAAGCAGCCAAGCTTCCTGAAAGATCAAAATAAATAACAATCAATATAACAAATACTGCTCATTAACCGAGAGTGAGGTCAGTATATCAAGGCCGAGGCGAAAACGCTTAATACGCAGGCTAAACTAACTGAACATCTAAGCCGCCACAGAAAAAAGCGCGTTTAAATCGTTGCGTCGCCTTCACGATTTACAGAACTGTTGCTCGCCATGCGTCGTTGTTGTTAAGGAAGATCTATCAAAAAACAACAACACACAAAAAAATCATAATAAAAAGAAACAGAAAGGAAAGTCTTTCTCTGTGCAAACCAGAGCCTTCAGACTTGTACGTCCGATGAGTCCAGCATCTCTTTGCAAACCAAGACTGTTTTCTGTATACAACGTGCGAGGCAAAAACCGAGAACTTACACAAAAGAGTTGAGACTAAAGGCGTTGAGAGCATGGCCCGCAAAAAAGGTAATATATATTTTACGTGACACTGAGAAGACTCTTAAAACCACCAATAACCTAATGAATAATAAACTGATCTATTTAATTAAAATTGTTGATACTGTGAGATAAAAACAGATTGGAAGATAAAAATCAACGGCAACTGCAGCGATTCTATAGCTAGTCCACCAAACAGCTATTATATTAGCTATAGACAAGCCAGGATTCCAAACTTCAGAAATGGCAACCGCAAAACACAGCATACCTCGAATATCTGCTGTTCGTTGACTGTTTTTCTCGGTAGAATTTCTTGAATCTTTAGATCCAACTTCCACCAAGATTTCACTGTACATCTCTTCAAGTGTTTCAAGCTACGAGAAAAAAGAATCAAAAATTAAAAATTTTGATATTTTGCAAACAACTTCATATACATGCTTTTTGATATGGCACACTATATAAAGCCTTACATACGAACACCTTTAAGAATTCCAAGTGATTCCATCTTCTGATGTTTCTCGCAATATTTATAATATTCAGTCCACAGAACAAGTAACTTCTTTATAGAGAGAAGGTAGTTAAATTCCTTTGTGATTTACTGTGGACTCCGACTGCACGTAAGGAGCTTCATTTTACTTATCTTGACACCTTTACTAAAGATTGAAAATATATATATTGAAAAAGGCTATCAGTTACTTTGGGTAAATTTACACATTTCTCGTGATCAACCCAAGTTAACTAAAGTATATAGTTAGTCGATATATGTTACTTCATTAAAATGCCTGCGAATGATGTGATACCTGTTTACGAATGGACTGCAAATCCTGAGAGTTTTTCGCTTTTCCTAATAAAAATAAGTGGAAATAAAGAAAAGGCAGTCATTTTCTACAAGGCATGCAATTTTTATCAAACAACCAGCCATAAATATTCCACCAAGATTCGTTTTATGGACTCAGTTCACACAATATAAAGTCAATCTCCCCAATTAGCAAAGCACCGCACATTTCCCAACACAGAAATAAATGCTGCCTTACTGTGCTCCCGAGGTCTCGAAATAGATTAGTGTCTTTCCCGACCAGACAAAAATGACAGGCAATAATTTGTACGAAATTCGTTAGCGTACATTAACAAGACAAAACGTAACAGACAAAGACAAAAACGACCAAACGTAACAGAACAAATAAGTAAAAAAATTCAAGAAAGGCGCCTTGCATTTGAGAACGATAAACGTTTTGTTTGTTGCTCAAGCCAGCTGAGCATGCTATTCGCACATCTGTAACTGCAGACGAACCCCCTGTAAGCGAAGGCTCAAAAGGCTAAGATTTACTGGTCGATTAGGGAAGATGTTGGCTATGAGAGTCGAAACAGAGGGGGTCTCTTCAGAAAAAGGTGCGGCCACAGACTTGCAGAGCTACAATCGCCGACAAAATTGTGGAGACATTGTACTCAAATAGGGTAAATTCAGAGAACAAAAGAACCCACACCCCTCCCCTGTCCACTCCATTCAGAGTTGGGGTGTTTGTTGTAATCTAAATGTAGCTCGAACAGCGGCACAACATTGCATGGAGAGGACTGGGGAGGAAAAGCTATATTTTCTCCTTTTGAAGTCAGGAAAACGTCAAAAAGCCCCTTTAGAATTAGGGCGAAGTGTCTCAACTCCTTTTGTCGGCGATTGTAGGTTATCATTTAGTGCACACAGTGAACATAAAGATCAGACCATTTGTCAAGTGGTCGCTAAAAAGAGGTTGAAAACAATGGAAATTTAGCCTGTGCCAGGCTCCCGGTCAGTGCAAGCGAGCGAAAAAAGGGTAGGGAAAAGCGGGCGGGAAAAGACATAGAGAGAACCTGTAGGCATTTTTTTTTAAGCACCTCAGTGCCCCGACTGTCCCGCCCACTTTCAGAGAAACTGTTTCCTGTGTCAAAATGTGCGGTGGAAGAGGGCTTCACAAGCTCACCATAATTCTTTGACTCTGCGCTCGTGAAGCCAAATGATTGACGTAAGAGTCGACGTAACTGTCCAATTTGACCAATTGTAGGGTATATCAGGAGCTGGTATACCCTTATAAGGTATTGAAAGCAATGCTAACGGGCTCCACTTTCCCGTCTCCCCTAACTCTCCTAACCCCCGCGCGGTTTTCGCGCAACTTTTCTCGATCTGCGTTTATTACTGGAACAGGCTGTGGAAAATTATAAACCCATTGGTCCAAAGAGTGGTCGCAGTCGCTTACGAGAGGTGGTCCCTTACGAGAGATTTCAAAGGTAGGGTTTTGACTAGCCTTCCACACGACATGCAATCCTGCCCTTCGCAAAACGAACCCCTAAGAACTTCTGAAGGTAGTCCCTTAAGGGAGGTGATCGCTTACGAGAGGTAGTCTCATATAGAGATTCTTTCACTGTACATCAAAGTGTTTTACCTCTGTCTCTTCTACTCGCTGGTGTCCCACTGCCACTATAGCTTTTTGATCTTCGCCGACGACGGCTTCCCTCGTCTTCGTCGGAGCTCAGACCAGATGAAGAATCAGAGGAGCTCATAAACACGTACGTGGCGACTGATGATGCAGGTGACAGTGTTGGAAGCATTGGTGTCCGTGCAGGAGATGGAGTGTCCGATTCCGAAATTGCTGTCGATGTGGTAGACCTGTCCGCTAACTTGTCAGCAACTTGTTGGAGGAAATCTGAACGTGATGAGCTACTTCTTTGGAATCGTCTTGGAGGCGTGCCTTCTCCTTTGACGAGTTTTCTTGTATGGGTTTTCTCACTGTACGTACTTCCAGACCGCGACTCCCGCGTTGGTTTTTGCGACGCGGAAATCTGAGTTCGCGACGCTATCCCTTCCGCTGACACAGCCGCAGCAAGTTTGCCACGCGGCGTGGGCGAAACGGATGGCGAGTTTGAATCTACTCGGCTTCTTCTATTTTGAGGTGCAGCTGGTAACTTTGCTCCCCTAAAAAAAGAACAACAATCAGACAACTCAGTCTTACTCTCCAAACAAAAAATAGTGCAGCTTTCATTCGACTAATTTCTTACAGAAATGAAAAAGTGTAAAACACAACAAGCAGTGATAGCATGTACGACACCTCTCATAAATGAGCGAAGTAAAGTAAATAGTGGGTAAATTCGCTAAGAACTCCCATGTGGCTTGTTGGTTGGAAAGTCAAATCAGTTCCCGCGAATTGTGTGGTTCGAAACAAGTCCAGAAAACATCGTTTTTCTTCGACCAAAAACCTCAAAGCATTGCTGAGCTTGACATTTACCACGTTGTTTTATTTATTTCCTACAGAAAATGCTGCGGAAATCCGAGGTCTGGTATCAGCCAACTTTTACAAGGAAGCTAAGAACCTGTGCTTCTGATCTTCAGATGTCACAACGAAATGCACGCAATGCATTTTGAGGACACAGACATCACAAAAAATGAAACGAAATAAACAGTATTATTGCTTACTCATGCATGTATATTGCTTACACACATGGAATCGCAGACGAAAAACCACACTGTGGATGTGCGACCAATAAATCGTTATCTTTTTCTTTCCGTCTCTATTTATTTATTCAATAAATTCTCGTATTTATTTCATTCCCTTCTATTTTTAAGTCGACCTCAGTTCATTAAATAATGGACCATACCAAACAACACACCTATAATTATCAGCACTAGTAAATGAAAATAAATATTACCTTGCAGGCTTTGCATTCCCTGTGAAACTGCTCGTTCTGGCTTGACCGCGCCCCTTCTGAACATTTCGCATCTTTTGTGAAGGGTGGCTTGGCTTAGAAAATCATAAATACATCACAAAATGCTCTACTTCCCTAAAAAGTGAAATTCTCTAGTGGAAATGCTGGTGTTCAAAACATTTCTCTACTTCAAACTTGCTTTCGACATGTACCAAAAGCTTTAACGAGCTGTGCTGGGACTGAATTTATCAAATTTAAACAGTGGGAAATGTCAACAAATTTGGTAAATCATAAAAAATAACCGCTCAAAACATTACAAGAAGTATAAAAAACACACAAAAATACCTAGCCTGCTCAGCTGGCGGGATTCTTGGGCGTCTCTGCCGCCAAAAACTACAGCAGTCGCACTAATCCCACCAGCTCTGCAGGCTAAAAAATACCAGAAAAGGAACGGATGGACAAATTAAAAGAAATTTCAAACTGACGAATTGCAAGACATTTTAAAAAGTGTGTATTTTTATTTTATTTTTTTACACGAGTCCGTACAAATTTTTGACGGTGTCAGCACTGGAATGGCTTTTTTTTGTATCAAAGGTGCGTCACTGGGCTCCACTACGTCCAGGCTTTACCTGCGCTGAAACTGTGTCAAAAATTTGCATGGTTCACGCAAAAGGGGAACCATACGGGTCAAAAATTTTGACCTACTTTTGTGAAAAACTTGAACACATTGCCGTTCAAAAACTTGCACGGCTTGGCGGGTCTTGTGTAAACGAAAGGCGGATCCGTGTAAGTACGTTTAGTCCGTTCAAAAGTTGTGCAGACCCGTGTTAACGAGGTTGAAAACCTTTCGCTTTCATTTTGACGTCGTGCTTCGTGGTATACTATCTTGGCTACTTCTTATTAACGAAATGAACTAGAAAGAAATGTCAAAGCCTCCTTAACAAACAACATACCACATATCCAATCCTGTCCAGCTCCTTCATGCTACTGAAGTCCTTCGGCTTTGATTCCATACCCGGCTGGTCTTCCTCGGCAACATCTAGCAAAGACTGCAGTCGACGTTCAACATCATCTTCATCGTGAAATGGCTGTAGTTTTGGTGGTGGGGGAATCAGCATTTCCTCCTCCGTTTCCTGTTTGAAGTAAAAATAAGTGTCTCAAGCAAATCCTTATCACCACCAAATTTACACTGAGATAATAGGAAACTTCAGTAACGGCGACGGCAACGAGAACGCCAAAAAGGCAATAGGTTTAGGGCCTGTTTACATGGAGGTGGAGGACCTCGGTTAGGTGAGGTAACCCGCTTAGGTGGGGTAACCCGCCTGTCCACATAATCTCTCTTTTACTTTGATCACGTTTACATGATAGGTGGGGTGACCTGCCGCATGTTACGTCACCTATCTGGGGCCCCCACCTCCATGTAAACAGGCCCTTAGATTAGCAAAACATCAACTTTGCACGTGCATCACGCATTTTTGTACATTACTTTGCCGTCGCTTCACGATAACAACGTGAAACTTCATATTTTCACGTTTTGTGGAGCAAGTGAACGCAAAACAACAATACGATCTTCTTTTTCTTGTCTTGAACTTCGACACAGTCCTTTAGAATTCAACTCCAGAAAAATTCTCCATTATTTGCCGAATTGAACGAGATGGAATAAACACGATAGTGTTTGAAGCCGAGAGCGCGAATTCTCGTCGCCGTCTTTGTTACCTAAGCTCCCCGTTCATTACACCTACTTTCCAGCTACTTTACTCCGTGGATATGAACAGTACACTGAACCTCGATATAATGAAAGGCCAAGAGACTGGGAATCATTAATGTTCGCTACATTGAGGTTTCATTATATCAAGTAAAAGTTCTTTTTCACATACATGTACTTTACTATTACTGTGGGGAAGAATAACGTTCGTTATAGCGTACAAGAACTTACAAGAAACCGAATGTTATACGTTCTACAATCTAATAACCTTTCTCTGGCCCCTAATACTGACTTTTTCTAGAAAAATCTTAATTGCACACTTTTTAATTAACTACTATCATGATTTTCACACAATCACCTCGACAGGAAGCCCTCCAGGATTTGGACTGCTCAACAGTGACCTCAGCCTGTCCTCAAGTGAGATCGCCCCATTAGCACGCATCTAAAAAGAAACAATTTTCAGTTTTCATTAATGTAGAGCACCACCTGTCCAAACCGTTCATTTTTTAAAACGGTTATTTTTATTGAAGAAGTTAAGCCCTCTCCCGATCGATATACTGTAAATGATTAAGCTTCTAACATTTGAAAACTTGTTTCCGTCACTACATTTTCACCTAAACTCATAGTAGAATGACGACGGTTATCGCGTTTTCTCGCCAAACTAGGGAGCTTTTGCAACGACGAAGGCGACGGCAACGAGAACAGCAAAAACGCAGTAGGTTAATTTAATTCGTAAAAGAACAACTTTGCACGTGCATCACACTTTTTTGTACATTTCTTTGCCGTCACTGCACGACTACGACGTTTTATGAAGGACGTCAACAAGCGACAACGAATTCTTTCCTTCTCTTTCTAAACTTGAGTGCGGTCCCAAAGAAATCAACTCCAGGGAAATTCGCCTACATTTGACATTTTCAAAGAATTAGAATAAACGCGACAAAGTTTGAAAAACGCGAATTCATTTTAAAAGTGACGTTTCCGCTGCCGTCGCCGTCGTCGTTGCAAAAGCTCGCACTAAATAGTATTGAGAAAATCTCGTCATCTTAATCGTCCTCCTTTTAGAACCTACAGGTGATGTTACACAGGACAATTCGCAACGACGATTTTTAGCGCGTCACAGCGTTGCAATGTTGGAACAATGTTGTAACAATTCGAAACAATGTCGCAACAATAGGGCCATTTATACGAGGAAAAATAAGACGCGTCCTAAATAAGACGCGAATTTTCCGTATAAACGGCACATTTCGTCTAAAATAAGTCGCGTCTTAGCTAAGTCGCGTCTTATTTAAGACCAAATGTGCCGTTTATACGGAAAGTTCGCGTCTTATTTAGGACGGGTCTTATGTAAGACGCGTCTTATTTTTCCTCGTATAAATGGCCCTAATGTTGCAACGCTGTGTTGCGCTAAAAATCGTCGTTGCGAATCGTACTCGTGTAACATCACCTTAAAGGTCTCTAGAAACGTACCTGTGACGGTGAGAGATTCCGGGCTGTTTGAAGGACTCCTCGCTTGTCCAATTCTGTTCGGGTCTATAAACAATACTTTAAATGTTACAGTTTACATATAAGAGGATGGTAACCTTAGTGAAATTTACCATATACAGTGGAAACTCCTAAATACGACCAATAGCGAGTCATAAGAATTTGGCAAAATCAACGATGTGGGCTGGGCTTTTCTCATTTTTACTTTAGGGCTAAATTTTGTTCGTTTGTTTGTTTGTTTTTTACTCTGCTGACTTTGTAAAGAAAACGAGCACTTTAGAAAAGAACAATGTGACATTTCACGGAAACTCTAAGTAAGAAAAGGAATATCTAAAACAGTAACTTTCTTATGTCATTTGTCTGTCCTTTGACATGCCTAACTGCTTTAACTGGCCTTATTAATAAACAAGGTGAATTTGTTGAGAAATATTTTTACGTTGGAGCTTATAATGTGACTGGTTTGGCCCTGCTGTACGAAAAAGCTATTTATTTTTGCTTGCTGACACCGTTCGGAAAATTAGTATTTACCGTAATGATAACATCCGAAGGCTGTACTGGTTTTCGTGACAGAATTGGACTTTCCTGGCCTTCAAGCATTCCTGGCATGCGGAAGTCATGGATAGGAGATGGTTCATTTTTCTGTGTCGTTGGTGAGGCCTCATCTGAATGGTACCCTGAGCTACTGCCGTGGGTGCGTGGGTCAACATCATAACCTGTAAAGACGAAATAAAAAATAAAAATTGAAGTTCTTGGAAGCAACAGCCACTGCCTGGTTAGCTCAGTTGGGCGGGAGATCGCACTTTCACTTATCCGGTTCTTGTGGGACGTTAACGAACCCAAACCACTGTTCGAAAAGAGTAGAGGACGTAGACCCCGGTGGTGTGGCTAACAAGTTTCAGTTCTTCAATAATACCATATTCTACCCAGGGATGCTGCTCCAGTTTTAAATAAGCAAGCAAACATCCCCCATCTCAAAAAAGGATGGAAAAAAGCATTCACGGCTCCCCTCCCCCACCCCAGCTGGGGGTGTTTATAAGAGAGTCTTACAGTGGGGGTGTAAATAACATGAACAAGCAAATCATCAGGAAGGGAGAAAACAATAAAATTGATTTTTCTAAGTGCAGAATACCCTATACAAGCAAGATTTAACAAAGTAAGTACCGACGTGTAAGATGCACCTTTACCTAAATTCACCTTTAACTGTACAATTGCTTTCAAAATACTTGGCAAAATACTTTTAAGAAAAAAAACCAACAGAGAAGAACATTCAAGATCTGCATTAATTTACGGACTTTTCCGACACACCTGAGGGGACTTAATTGCTCAAAACGGGGACTAGATAAAAAGATGTGATGAACGTAATCACACTTGTGCAAAAAAAGTTTACCTACCATTAGTTGAGGGTAGATATGGCACTGAACCTTCCTTGTTTGAGCCGGAGGAGCTGGGTCGAGGTCCATCAGGAGATACCCATCCTTCACCCTGCGATGTGTTTAAAGCATACATAAGTGAATCGAACAATTATAAATATTATTATAAGAAATATTTGTTAAACTAGCCTCAGGATCAGGCAGATGGAGATCTCAGTCTCTTAACTAGTAATACATCACATCAGTCAACGTGCAAAGAAAGTAGTGTCCGATAGCCCTGGACTAGTAGATTTTGCTATCGGGCTAGTGTATTCAGGGCAAGTGACTTTTTTTGAGGAATTCAAATTAAATAAGAACTGTATAATCAATCCTCGTCATCAAAACGATTTTGAGGCTAGTTGAAATGACTTTTGGGCTAGTACATGCCAGGTGCAGCTTGCCTGAATAGCTGTAAAACTGACTTTCTTTGCAACCTGTACGTCAGGTACATGTAAATTAGCCAAGTGGTATGAAGTAAAGCCCTCAAAAATGGTTGGGAGCCAACTCAGTAACTTACCTTAAACTGTGACTTAACATTCCTGCACAGACTCAAAACAGACTTCACATTGCCATCAATGAGATCTAAGGGAATAAATGCACACAGAGATTACACTACAGAACAGGATAGGTCTTCTGGCTAGTCAGGATGTTATTTTCCAATCCTTGTTAGTCTCTTTCTACCTCAAAATCATTAAATTTTCTTGCAAAGTCCCTTACGTTCAAACAAGTCTCTGATTTTACTATTCACCATGCCTATACATGGCTTTATGAACTAATGAATGTTTTCACCTTGATCTTTCATTTTTCTACAACATTTATGTTTGGATGGACTTTTAATACTACCCGTTTTTACTTCCCTGGTTTTAAGAGTCTCAGTTACCAGGATTAGTTCTCTACACTGTGTCAACTTGATCCTTGTGATGTCATCACACAGTGTATTGCAGATCAAGGAATCAGAAAATTAAAGAAAACATGTACTAGACACTTGCCTCCAACATAGATGCCCTGCAGGTCTATATTTCTGTTTCCCATAAAACTCATGCATAACTGAAGATTCTCCAACTTTTGAGCCCTGGTCACTGGGCGTGCATAGACCCCTGGGATTTTTTGACCAGCTGAAATGAATAAAACATTATTTCGTCATGTTACAGATGCCTCAATCTCTGCCAAGAGCGATGACAGCTGTAGACACACTAATGTCACAACATGTAGACATAATTAGAGCAAACCTAAGTTCCATTAAATCATGGCAGGTTAATAAGCTAAACTTGTTTGGAAAAAATGCAGACATTTTATTATTATATAATAATTACACAGATACGTATATCATTAACAGTAAAAAACACCATAACATTATAAGAGTTTTCATGTAACATCAAGTTTCACTGAGCCAATTGCAAATGAAGATACATGTGATAAGCATGGCAATTCGGATTTTACACTAGCTCTGTAGCTAATTGTATACAAAGTAGCCTTAAAAATGACTTCTGTTTAAAGAAAGCATTTTAAACTTCAGGTTTCGCAGAATTTAAGAAGAAATTGTTTACATGAACACAAACAACAGTAAGTTACAGTACGCCCCTTGGAACTGAAATACATTAAAGTTGTATGAAGTTGCAGAGTTTAAAAATTCAGAGTGGTGTAACATTGCTGTCTTCAGGAACGGTATATATAACTTCACAAAAGAATAATATACAAAGCACTGCAGGGTTTATATAGAAAGACTGCCCTAACGCATGAAACAGTACAATCATGTCAACAAACAAGGATTATGTTACATCCAGAAATGCTAACATCATTTCTAAATAAAGCTGCCATAATTTTCATATTTACTTCTTTTTTTCTGCCATTTAAGCATGATCCTGGTATAACGACATTTTTAAACTGCTCTAGTATTTGCCTCAGCTCACATGTTGGCCATTTCTTCATCATCGATATTTTCAAATCAGAATGTGCATATTCACTGTCAACAAAGGGATGTCCATCATAAAAGTTTTATAACACCTTGAGCTGTATTGTAATGGAAAGGCCTGCCATGACAATCATAGCAGGATTTATACAATGCCAATAAGCATTTCATAATAATAGACAGGATATTACAATGTTCATAGACAAAGAGGATAAAGTGACGGCCTGAGTTATAAATTACACTCATAACGGATATTACCAAGAGACAAAGGTCTGATGAAAGAAAGACTTGTAAACAAATATACAAAGGTTTCAATAACTCAAAAATGCTGCAAGCTTTTTTTACATCTAAATTAAGTATACCAAATTACTTACTATATTTTTTGTACAGGAAGAGGTCAGTCAGCAAGATTTGGCTTTAAATCCTTAAACTCACAATTTTCTTTGTCAAAGTTACATGTAATTAAAGGATGAAGGCTACAACAAAAGGATGGCACATTCTTTAAATTCAGTTCAAAGTAATTTGCATGATAATGTCCTTTTTTCCTTCCATTAACAATGATATGTATGAAATGAGTTGTTTTCACCTAATAGTGATTAGAGTACAGTTTAATCTCCCACAAATTTCAAATCCATGTCATCAAAAAAATTGCTGATGAAAGTTTACATTAATGACAATTACGACTCTGAGATGATTCCCGGCAAAAGAAGCTGTGTCAAAATTCAAATTAGTGACCTTGAGTGTTGTTATCATTTCCTTGATGCTTAAACATTTTGAACTGGTTTTTTAAGTAGAGTTAAGGGTCATCAGCAATGACCAGAATATAACACTGATGACCAAATCACGGATCACTATATTGCTGATTGAACAAACACAATTCAAGCTGGGAAACTACTTGTTGACTCTTGAAAATACAAATTAAAAGACCCCAAATTTGGGTCAATATGTCAATTTTTCTGGAAGTCCACTGACTGTCTTAACATTATCAAATGCAGTTCAAGTTACACTTTGTTTAAAAAATGTAACTACATGGCTTCTGATTTACACTTGCCACGACAATAGTGTGAACAACTGCATGGTATTATCATATGTGACTAACTTGGAAGAACATATTGTTTTTAATGGCCCCTATGCCAACTGAATCAAAATAATTTATATGCAGGCTGTTCCAGAGAGCAATTAAACTTTGGTTTCAATAAGCAATCAACATCATGTTGTGAAGGTAGCAAGGAAAACCTTGCAGTGTAGCAGGCTGTCTTCACCAGCTGCTGGCTCTTGCAAACAACCCTGGAGACCCAATCCAATTTTGTGGTATCACACACTCGTTTTACATATGTCCAACCCATCTCCTTTGGTTAGTTTAGCACAAAGTTGTCTATTATTATATGTTCAAACTAGGTCCTAATATTTATGAATCATCCTGCAGTTAAACACCTTCCTCCTACATGTACATTTAACTGTTCACTACATGTACTATACCTAACAACTACATCTACAGACTACTAGCAGTCTACCACCAGTTGTCAATAGGGTCTCTTACTGCAGTCTAGTAGGATTTAAGGTCTTAAAGCCCCTTTCCTGGTCTTAGCTGCCTTTTCAACCATCAGCAGCTGTTTATAGAAAAAGTTACTGAAGCCCCTGACTCCCTTTTTTCAGGACTAGATGAAAAATGGATTCAAGCTTATATCTTCTGGGCAAGCAGCTCTCAAATTTTGCTAGCCTGAGGGCACTTCTTGCTTGTCTTAGTTAATGATTTTGTTAAAGGATGACTTAAATTGGATTCTTGCCCATTAGGCAAGCAAGAAAATCTGCTTGTCCCAGACTACTGGACAGGACTATTTTCGAGCCCTGTTATTGCGGGTAACCTTTGGGATCATGAGTAAGCGTACATGTCATTGATTAATGACAGTCCAGGGTTGTTAAAAGTAGCTGGCTGCTGGCGAAAATCGCCATCTACTTGGTTAGTATCGGCCGGCTACTCTGCTGGGCATTTCTTTATGGATGGCGTTTTTTAAATAAAAAATCCCTGGACTGTCCGCTTACTTTGACAACTCAGCTGTCTACATCAAAACTTTCTGACAACCCTGCAGTCTTGAGCAGGAGTTTATTTCAAACAAAGGCCTGTAATTTACTGTTGCAAGGGATTCAGTAGCTGTCCGTATCACAGTGGCATTTGTAACAGCAAGCTGTTCACAAGGTGAAATTTTGACAGTAGATGAAGTGACAACCAGGTAGATTAGGATACACGTACTTCTGTGAGTACCATCCACTGGGGTTGTGCTTCTAAGACTCACAGCTCCAGTTTTTTAAAAGGGGAATAGCACTATCCACTACAATGTCTGTAAAGTGGATAATGCTGTTGATTATATATTAAACACCAACGAAACATCAGGTGAGCTTTTGGGTGAAAAAATGATATCTTCACATGTGAAACAATCACCATATTGCTAATGGCTACATAATAAATTGTGCCTTTTACAGCAAAAGAAAACACTAAAGTGAAATAGTTTGGTATTTCATTGATGTTTATAATTATAATGAATAGAACATTACATGGCTGCTTGAAGATACAGAATTTCTCTTCTTGTGTTAAAAAAAATTTCAGTTGTTCTCTGCACTCTTGCGTGAATTATTTTTCAACATTTGGAAATAAATTTCGTTTCTCAGTGCAGCCATGTAATATCCTCTATTTATCCACTTGACACAAAAATGTAGCTGTTTCCAATCATTTGAGAAACTGTAGCCCGATATATAGGGTAAATCAAGGTGCCCATACATTTTATTAATTTTTATTTCCCAAAATTGGGAATAATATTTCAAACTCACATCTTGAACAGGGCATCATCGTGAATAGAAAGTCCCTCTAAAGTGGAGTCCAAGTTTGTTGGCCAATTACCCGAGTAACTACCAACCTTATGGGAAAAATGGGATTGGGATTGGATACTTATGTTTAGCTTTACAACAAGGTATGGCCAGGTAGCAGGGTGCAAAGAAAATCATTTTTACAGCTTGCCTTTCGGGCAAGCTGAAGCTAGCATTTACTAGCCCAGACGTCATTTCAACTAGCCCCAAAAACTTTTTGTTCTTCTGTTATTCAAATTCCTCATAAAACATCAGTTGCCCATTGGGCAAGTTAAAAACAGAATTCACTAGCCCGATAGCAAAATCTACTAGCCCCGGGCTATCGAGCAGTACTTTCTTTGCACGCTGGGCGGGCAGTTCTACCTGTTTGAAGTCATACAAAATACACCCAGTTTTAAAAGGCAAATAGGGATGCTATTTGGCGGTCATGCATTATCTTTGGTTAGCTTTTAATCTTTTTTTGTTCTTTTTTTTAAGGACTAATTCAAATGATAGCTTTGGGTATTCTGTCTGGTCAACACATTCAACCCAGGATAGATGTTATTCGCCGGCGACAAGTTTTTATCCCACATTCTCTAGTATGCATTTTAACATCCTGCCCATAGAAATGAAGGATTGAGAGATGAGATGGACACAGACTAATAATTTTCTGCTTTACAATCTTAGTATCTTAGTATTTTATTCATTAATTTACATCTATAGCCATGGGACTTCATGATATTAAACAAGTGTATTTAGAAAAGAAAAACAGAAAGCCATAAATTATCACCTCTAATATATACCAGAATAGACACTTAAGTGAGTTGATGATTCTTTAAAAACAGAAATGTTACAATTAATGTAGGATGAGATCACATAGCACAAGCTGGGAATGATTTTCGAAGAGTTTTGTTTATCACCTACAAATGCAGGGTGCTTTTGTCAAACACAAGAGAGTAAGATGAACAACTGTCAATTGCGTGATTTTTCTGGAAGCGTCATCAATTAAAAGTATTGAGAACAATCACTGTATAATCATTAATTATTATTCAATTTTTATCAAATGATAGAATTTTTCTACACAAATGTAACCGGGAAGGTAAAATAACAACTTTAAACAAACGGAAAGACCATAAAATCTGCTCTAGTTTACAAATGACGGGTGGTTGCGTGAACCAAAACAGATCTATCAAACCGCAAGCGTAATATAAAAAATTGCAATAGATATCCGTACGAACGCAGACGGTCGATACTTTGTATCGTGAAAGCGATATTCTCTTTGTTTGGTTTTGTTTTAATGAAAGACCAACAAATATGTAGTAGGACAAACAATAATTTTTAAAGAAATAACGAGAGTAATTTAGCTCACCTAAAATTTCCAGAATGTGAACTAAAGTTTGCCCATCACCAACCGAGCGTCGGATGTCGGAAATGGTTCTGCGTTTTCCTCTCTTGAGTAAATGATTAGCCCAAGATGTGAAATCCTTTGAATAAAACACAAACAATAACGCTATGATTGTTGAACGAAAAGTTATCTTAGAAACGACATTTCAAAAGCTATAAGCCTTCACAGAGGGCGCATAGTTACTGACCTGAAACCAAACAACAGCCCGACTGTGAGCTACAACTTCCAATACTATACATCAATTTGTAAACTGATTGTAATCTTTTATTGTATTCACCAGGAATATTTAAACAGACATAATGAACCTTAAATAAAGTTATAGTTAAGTACCTCGCACTCCTTAAGAGCCCATTCTCCAGTTACAGAGACTTTCATCGGGGCATTTTTGGAATGGAACACCGGAAAAGCCGCGGCTTCTTTCCTCGCTCGTGTGTTAACGGTAGTGAATGCTTGCTTCGAAGCCGTTCCTTGTGCAACGGGATGGCGCATTCCATCTACTAAATTCGAGTCTGTATTCTGAGCAGAAGTGACCTTTCCCAGAGAACTTGTGGGCTGGAGTTCGATTTCATTTTGCCAACTTTGCTGCGTAAAATAAAACAATCAAAGTTTACTTGACCGTGTATGAAGTAAAAAGAACAGTGGTTGAAGTGACAATTTCATCGCGCTTACCACCGGTTGTCCGCCAACTCCAATTTTTAACTTTCGCGAGTGTCCTCTATTATGTCTTACGTCCGTCATTACGCTTTGAAGTAGACTCCTCGAATGATTAAATGCGATTACATGATTCAAACTGCAAGACGGAGTTACTAGCTGTAAAATTTATGCAGTGACTGCATGCAAACTTTTGAGATGCGTGTCAATTTCTTTCAAGCCTATTGTCACAATCCTATTGGCTAATACGAACTCATCCACCGCCAATTAACTTATTACTGTCTTTGTGCTAGCATTCTTTAGGATTCACGCACCAAATTTTCAGTCACGAATTGATTTCGAACCTTTTAGTTTAGCTTTAGGAAAGTTCAGAAAAAAAACTAGAATTTACAGATGCATACCAATATCAACGATTGTTTACTTAACGTTTTCTTCGTTCGATTCTATAGCTTCCTTTTCCGGTTGTTATGGGCACTTCAAGGACCACTCAGTTCAGTCAGCAATAAAACGTGACTTCTTCGTGACCAAACCTTTCTTCAGTTTAAAAAGAATCTAAGCAAAGAAAAATATAAAATTATAAATTCAGAAATCTGAACCGCCAGCAGAGAAGAAAGTGATAAGACAAACAACAAACAAACAAACAAACAAACTGGCCGACAGACAGACAGACAAAACAAAAATACTTTTAAAGGTGTTATGTTATTTTTTCAGTGAGTTGAGGTTAAAAGGCGTAAAAGATCAATAAAAGTTTTCGTGCCAATGTAAGCGTACAAAGGATACGTGATTAGTGTATGATGACGTCATAACTGTGCACAATTCATACTTCGCCTCATCAGGCGGAACACCTAATCGCAAAATGAATAATATGGAAATCCTTTTTCTTTTTGGTTTAGTACCGCGCGCGTAAGCCAGTAACCTACGATCAGGCGTTCAAAAAACCGCCTGATCGTGGGTTAGTGAGCCAGCCGCACTGATAGTTCTCCCTGATAAAGTACTGACCAAACTTGTTTTGCGATTGATTTACCAGTTATAGGAAAGCCTGCCCGGTTAATAGGCTAGACCTCCATGTAGGCTCCCCCAATTTGTCAGTTTGTTGAATTAAGGGCCGTCTAGAATGGGTACTCCAAACCTTTTTCGCTTCTGATACATGAAGTAAGTGTCGTAACTTGAAGCAGTCAGTAAAAGAGGGAAAAAATTAAAAAGAAGAAACAACATTTGCACTGATATACAATAGACATCCATATCCACTACTCCGTCCAAAGCTAGTGGTTTATTGCAAACGTATTTACACTGACATTGCTCATTACATCATTTGAAAGCTAACCGTGACATGCCAACTGTGCTTGGGAGCTTGAGCAACGTCGACGGCGACGGCAACGAGAACGTGTACAGAGTGAAAAAGCAAGAGGTTTAGATTAGGAACTTCTATTGACGCTGAAGACAACAACTTTGCACGTACCTCACGCTTTTCTCCACATTTCTTTGCCGTCTCTGCACGACTAGCACCATTTTAGGACGTGAAACCATTTTAGGACGGGAACGCAAGACAACGATTTTCTTTTTCTTTTTGTGGACTTAGATACAGTCCTTTAGAATTCAACTCCTGTAAAAATCGCCAACACTTGACAAATTAAAAGAGTTGGAATAAGAACGATGAAGTTTGAAACAGCCGTTGCTGTCGTCTTTTTTTGTATTAGGGAGCTTTAGCATCGACGACGGCAACGGCAGCGAAAACGTCAGTTTTAAACTGAATTCGCGTTTTTTCAATCTTTGTCGCGTTTATTCCAATTTGCTGAAAACTGCAAATGTAGGCGAATTTTCCCTGGGGTTGATTTTTTGAGGACCGCACTCAAGTTTAGAGAGGGAAAAAGAGATTCGTCGTCGCTTGTTTACGTCCGCCATAAAACTGGCAATTAGGCCAAGACTGGAAATGAACAAAAAAGCGTGATGCACGTGGAAAGTTGTTGTTTTGCGTAATAATTAAAACCTATTGCTTTTTTGACGTCCTCGTCGTCGTTGCTAAAGCTCCCTATTACTGTTCCTCGGTGCTAAACAATATACTCAACAGTTCCCTTCCTTTCACAACTGGCTCGCTCTGATTTGCACACTTTCCTCAATAACAGTGTGCCCGATAAATGGCTCTCCACCAGAAATAGCGTTTTGTAATAATCATGAGGTTTCCAAGCTGATTTGGGGGATGATCCCTCTGTAACGTATTGGTATAGCAGATGTACGGGTGGAACGTCAAGGCAATAGGAGTGAGTCAAAAACGGCGCCAAAGACGACTGGAAATAGGATATCAGCATCAAAAAATAAGGGCCCCAATGCACTAAATTTTTGCCGCGAATTTGGTGTTTACAAGTAAGAACCTCTTATTACTGATCATGACCCGAGGTATTGTCTCCAAGTTTCGTTTTCACATGAACACCAGTAACTAACAATGCATTTGAATTATACAGAAATTTTAGCTATTGTAGTGCACGAATGTGAAACTTGGAGCTAATACCTCCGAATAATTAATGGCTTCGTGTTTTGGAGTCCTTATTTTATTGCGTTACAAGATTTTAATGATAGTGAAACTTGAGGGTCATATAAAACGACAACTAATCTCGAGAATATCATATTTTTTTAAAAAAAAATCATCGAGCGGTACGTTTCAAAATTATTCACTTATTTGTTTAAGGTGGCCAGAACCTAGTTATATGCGTAAAGGTTATGTTTTTAGAGTCGCGTTTCTTCAGCAGGAACGATTTAATCAGGATTTTACACAGGTTTTTAAGAAGATTGAAATTGCTATGAGGTGAATATTGCATTTCAAATAAAAACGCTTCTATTTTCGACAGGTAAAGGCCGACCATAAAGATTGTCCAGTTTTTACTGTATTTCTAACCATAAAAAGTTCATCTCAAATTATCTCGAAAACGTTCTCATAGATTTTGTATTTTGTGTTGGACAAGCAATCTTCTATGAGTGATTGTGGAAAAAAAACTCCCAGCGTCGAGAAACACGGCAGAAAGTAAGATAGATAATGAAGTCACTATGTTGCTATGACGACTCCGATGTCCTTGTAACACTCCTCTCCACAACTTTTCATCTTTGTCTAATAAAGCTGTGGTATTCGTTTTTCAATATCTTTGTTTTAAGATGGGGACGTAGTTAATGCTCACTCTTGAGGAGGTATTGACCCTGAAAAAATTCAAACGAGCGTTTACATGTATGAACCAGGCTATAAGCGCGGGCTCACACTTGCGACGCAAATGCAAACCCAAACGCAAATTCAAACGCAAGGAAAGACACGTGTGAATTTTCTTAACGCAAATGCAAGCGTAAAAGCAAGTGCTGACGCAAGAAATGGAAAATTTTTATTTTCTTGAATTGCGCTTGCATTTTCCATTCGACCCCCCGCAAAGATAAAACTGTTTTCTTCTAGGCCATGCATTTTAATTCTAAAAGTTGCTTAAAACTTTTAGGAAACTTTTTTTCGAAGCATTGAATTGATTAGGGTTGAAATAATGTGGTCACGTGAAACGTGACGTCATAATGATATTCAAGAGAAAATGCTAAAAAATGGGGTAGGAATGGTTGATTACAACTAAGCCTGAAACATGTGTAAATGTTTATTTTTTGGTACAAAGTTTTTGGTGGCCGAAACGGAGAGAATTTTTGTTTTCTTAAAAAGATATTAACAGATGAAAAGTGTCACGTGTTCTTTTTTGCTTAGTTGTGAATTAATTAAAAATGCGAGTCAACCATTCTGGCCAGATTTATGCAAGGAACATTATGGTAGAATAACAAAAATACTGTTTTTAATATCTACTGTGTGGCATCTCGCCCCACCATTTTTGGTTTTCTCTTCTTTCCTGGACTTGACCATAAGTGGTCACGTGACACAAAACATTGATGTCTTACGTAACAAGAAAATTAAGTTCACCGATTTTTCCGAGGCTGCAAAATTTTGAAAGGGTCTGGTAAATTTCCACAAAGTTATGATCATTATAAGATTTTATGCAAATTATAGCCTCTGGCGGCATGCCTATGCATATAAGGACTTTTTTTGCAGTTTCGTATTTTCCGAGAACTATAGCTGACTGGAGTGCCTCTGAGGCCATTTTATCATCAGCTTCATTAGAGACTTTCAAATCTAATTTCTCAGCTTTTCTTAAGGTGATTCACTGGTTTTGCACTGCGCATCTCTCACTGCGCGTAACAAGATGGCCGCCATTAAAAAGAGCATTTGAAGTAACCCCATTAAAATGAAGTCGACTGAAGAGAAACGCTATTGGAATTTTTGCTTGCGGTTGTTTCTTGCCGAGGTGAGACTCAACGTCCTGGGAATGTGCTTAACGTAAGCAGTACGCGTGTTGCTGAGTTCGACTTCCTCACGGAGAACCCTCGGTAGTGGATGTTAAACTTGTGCTTACTCACTTTGATTTTCACTTAAACGCTTTTTATATCACATTGTGTCCTAAACGAGCTATCTCGATGTAGATTCTGTAAAAACGGATTTTTTATTACTTTCTTTCCCCTCTCACATACATGCCATTTTGAAATTCGCCCCAGTCCTCTCTCAAAAAATGGAAGAAAATGCATTTGGTGCGCACTTTCTGCAGCTCTACCGCAAAAGCGAGTACGGTGACCCCCATTTTTTATTTTATGATTTTAATAAGGACAGTCCTTCCTTTCGATGAGAAAAAGTTGGCACGAAACTATGTTCAGTTTTTTTGGCAATTTTACTAAATTGTACGGATTGAGCTATCACGGGTAGAATAGCGCGTGTCCAATTTAATTCTCCTTTGGAGCGTAAAGTAAACGCAAAGGCATTAAAAGGCATTTTTCTGGAACGTAAGCGGATAAACAATACATTAATTAAAGTCAAATTCTGTGCGTTACCGCATGCATCATCGAAAAAATCTCTCCTTTTTGTCTAGTTTTAAAATAAGCTGCGCGCAAAACTAGACAAAGGATCCTAAAAAGCCGTATTTGTCAGCATTATGACGTCAAAACAAGCACGGTGACCCCCCATTTTAATTACTTTTTTATCATCTTCTTGACTTGTTACATCAGTGTACCAAGTTTCATCTACAATCTATGTTAGGTTCTTTTACTAAGGAATCACCTTAAGTAATAGTTACATAGTTATTTTATTTAATTTTATAACTATTCATTAGTTTGTATTCTTTTACAGTTGGTGTGATGTCTTAGCAATTTTCACCGACCTAATATGTAGATGTAGATGAAACGCAGGTGCAAAACCAAGGATAAAAAAAAAAACAACAAGTAAAGATTCCATCGGCACAGTGACGTCGAATACAAGACTGGGTGTCTTCCATTTAATTTCAGACGAGAAAATAGCGGAGAGCTACTGTAAAAATTTATTTTTGTGCCCTATGATAAAATTCGTGCAGATACTAATGCTTAAGGACAGGGACTAAGTTTGAACAGGGGGGGGGGGAAGTATGTTTGCACGATAAAAAATATAACCAGCAAATAAACTCAAATTGGTTACTGATTATACTGTTTACAGTATTATAAGCGTACATTTTCTGTTGCACTTAAACACGCTTTATACCAAAACCACGTAGAGTAGACTAATTTCGGCCAAAGCTTTACTCTCGTCAGCCATCTTGGAAAAAATTTTGGCAACGCTTCACTGGTCCTGCGTTTCTTGACTTTCTTAAATTTTCGTTCGACGAGTGAACGTCCTTTGCACGGGGTTTGCATTTGCGTTGCATGTGTGAACTAGGCTATACATTTTTTGCATGCCGGTCCCTGGGAAATTCCGAGTTCTGAATCTCTTTATTTTCAAATAAATATCCTACCTTTTTTAGCTTGAAAAAAACATTAATAATCCCTTGAAAGGCCAAGCCTAAGAGAGAAGTGGCCCCCTTTTGCCTTTCAAACATTGCTCAGTATGGCCTAATCCTAAAGCTAATTCAATAGGGGAGAAGCCTTAATTGAAGTTTCATTCGTATCCTCCATTATATACTCAGTTCTAAAACGTTCATTGCTGGTCAGATATAACAAGAGTTAAAAGATCTTAAGTTGTTTGTTCTAGTTCATAGTTCTTGCAGGCATGAGTGCCCACAATTCGACTTCTGTTGCACTGGCTCACTTTACCTCTACACTTATAGAGAGAGACGAATTGAGAACACAGAGTTCTCAAGGCTTGCTTATAGTTTGTACTAAACACAAAGAGGATGACCGGATTGATTGCTGTACTTAAAGACGGAAAAACATAGAAGGTAAAACCAGTAATTAATTGGCATTTGTCCTTCGGAAACAGAGATGGAAAAAACTTTCTAAGAAAAAGATAAATACAGAGTGGTGTCCAGCATACAAAAAAGGCAATGACAATAGTTATAAAGATTTTCAGAATCTTCCTATTCTGCTGGCTTCGGTCAAAGTTATGCTGGCTTGTTTGAATGTTAGTTTTCTTGCTTCTCTTTTTCAATCTTCTCATGACCACGTAATACAAGACGATAATCGTAATAAGGGGAATAAAGTAAATTAGAACGATGCCGGTAGCATGAAAAACCGTTGTTGTTTCCTCGTTCGCGATAAACCTGCAAACAATCTGGTCCTCTACTGTATTATCTTGGAAAACAGTGCGTAAGGAAGAACGATAAGCAACGCTATTAGCCACGATACCAACAATAAGATCACTCGAATTTTCCAATTCATCATAGCAACTTTAAAAGGAAAAACAATCGCAACAAATCTGTCCAAAGCGATTAACACCAGACTCACAACGGAAACTATCTGAGATACCGCCCTAAAATACATTCCCAACTTGCACACAGCCAAAGCCCAAGACCCACTGATAAAAACATTGCGCGTGAACATGCCTTCACTAACGTACAGCGGCCAACTGAAAAACGGTCCGAGGAAGTCAGAGACTGCCATATTCACGATGTAGTAGTTGGTGCTTGTCTGTAGGCTGGGGGTCTTGGAGAAGACTACAGCAATGAGCATATTTCCAAGTAAAGTAACTGTAGTTATCACAGCCAAAATTGATGTGAACAATGTAGACACCGTCCAAGGGCAGGNTTATCTTGGAAAACAGTGCGTAAGGAAGAACGATAAGCAACGCTATTAGCCACGATACCAACAATAAGATCACTCGAATTTTCCAATTCATCATAGCAACTTTAAAAGGAAAAACAATCGCAACAAATCTGTCCAAAGCGATTAACACCAGACTCACAACGGAAACTATCTGAGATACCGCCCTAAAATACATTCCCAACTTGCACACAGCCAAAGCCCAAGACCCACTGATAAAAACATTGCGCGTGAACATGCCTTCACTAACGTACAGCGGCCAACTGAAAAACGGTCCGAGGAAGTCAGAGACTGCCATATTCACGATGTAGTAGTTGGTGCTTGTCTGTAGGCTGGGGGTCTTGGAGAAGACTACAGCAATGAGCATATTTCCAAGTAAAGTAACTGTAGTTATCACAGCCAAAATTGATGTGAACAATGTAGACACCGTCCAAGGGCAGGCAGCAGATGAAGTTTTCAGTTGATCTAACGTGAAGTTATCCATTGTTACTTGTTTGAAGCTTGAAATTCAGCGCTGAGAGCTAAACGGATAAGAATATATGAAATTAGCTACAGAGTATATATTGCAAAACAGCTAGGCGTGTTTTGCGTCATGCAGTCATTGTGCGCAGGGGTTCAAACTTAACTGGGCGGTCTGAAGAGAAATTGAAACCACCTGAACTCTTTGAAACAGAGCAAGAAGAGAGTAACTAACTGTTTTTTGCGGTCTATATTGAAAGGTGTACTGCAAAATACCGTCACATACCTTAAACTCTATGAACAAATTTGGAAGACTCTAGGTAAAGTACTAGCAATTTTCGTTTGGCTTTGGTATGATCCAGAAGAAGATTTGAAGAGTTATGCAAATTGAAGAGGGTGCTGCCTCTCGTCTCTAGGGCTTTGCATACTTCCGAGTGCTTGGGTGTTGCGGAAGCCGGCATTGTTAGTTAACTTTTGTGTTGTGGGGTGAGTATTGATCAGTATCTTTTCAATCTTTTGTATTACACCCTTCTGCAACACCCTTCACTCAAAATAAATCAAAGTTTAAAAGCAACCTACAGCGCTTCTTAAGCAACAAAACCTCGTCCCCAGGGCTTCTCGGATGCAGCCAATTTGTCTGACGTTTATCCTGCAGTCAGTAGTGATGTCCGGATTATATTGGATATCGCAAAGCGTCTTCCAAATTTGTTCAGCGCTAGCTGGATATGAAGAATAAGGCGGAGGATTTGAGTCAATCAGAAACAGAGAAACATTTTGAATGAATAATAACGCCGACTTTGCTAAGCCAGCAAATCGCGAATCGAAACCAAGCTATTCTCCGGCTTGTCGAAACACAATGAAAAAATTGGATTGCAGACAACTGTATAGCTGGCAGAAAATTGTCTTTGTAAAAAAAAAAAAAGAAAAAAAAATGTCAATTCCAAGAGTTTTTGTTTGTTTCCTTTTTCTTGGGTTTCGTGAAAGTTATTCACTGAGTACATTACAGCTGTTTCAAAGCCAATTCGGGGGAAAAGGGCTACATTATAGGTGCGGTGACACACACCATGGTAAAATAGATTTTACACGTTGACGAAGCCGTGGTAAATTTTAACGGGTAGTAGTTTAAAGTGGTAACATGCGGTTACTCGTGAATTAATTGGCAGGGTAAATTAGTGGCTTTTACGGCTTCATTCGCGCTATTGCGGTAATAATCGTCTTCGATCATGGCAGTATTTCTTGTTTTGTTGAAAATTTACGAGCAAGTCAGCTGAAATTTTAACTGGTATGTTAGTCCTTATAATTTAGCGAAGGTACATATCATTTTTTTAAATCTTGACCTTAGATTTCATTTTACAGTTTAGCTGCATCCCACTGTCCAATTTCATACCGGAAATTGAACATTTTTATGTTTACATCAATTTTTCTCTCAACAGCGCGACAGAAACCCGTTATAAAAAAAGCAATGTTGTTTGCGATTTCAGGTTGGTGTCAAATGAAGAAACCTGATTGGCCCTCTTGTCTTGGGTATCGAAAAACCCCAGATTTACCACGTTAAATGTCATGAGGCACAAAATATCCCTCGATAATCTACACGTAACCCTCTGAGAAAATCTCTATGAAAAAAACCATACCAACAAATCGATCAATAAAAAACAGAGAGTCATAGGTTAAACTTTTACCCTAAAAACGTCTGAAAACTGTTTCGAAGACCATATTAAGGACTTTAAAGTTTAAGTTTCACTTTTGAATCGCCAAACTGCTCTATTCTGAGAGTATTGTGACAGGAGTCCAGTACTTCCAGTCATACAGGTAATTTTTTTGCATTTGCTTACACCGTGGTTGGGTAACCTCAAACGCATGTTTGACACTGGCTCCGTTATATTAAGGCTTTTGCTTCCCTGCTTTCTGGCTATTCCATTGTATTGAGGTTAATTTTCAAAGAAAGATTCCGGATCCCAGGTCATGTTAGGCCTCAGTGAAAAAACCTTACTTATTTTTAATTTTTCTCACTTCATACTGCCGATGGTGATTTTACACATGAATGGCTTGTGCAAAGAAGAACTTTATTTGTTTAGATTTATATTCCAGCTTTCATCTGCAAAAACAGGACTAGAATGGCAGTTTTAAGGTTGTTGCTAAATGTCTTCGTTCTCTCCAACTGACCAGATCTCAAATTAATCTAATTCACATATGCATCATGATTGTATTTTTTGGAACATGCCTCAAGATAAAATAATCGTTTCGATTTACTTACCTGGCGGCACACGTGTGTTCCACTTGACTGAAAAGCGTTTCTGTGACTGCTTTGTGAAATCCACAAGATGTGCCTTAGAACACGTCCTCGCCGTTCCTGATACTCTTGTTGTGTGCTTTCGATCCTTTAAGGTATTACGCGGTGAAGTATGTGTGAAGTGTGTACTTCGCTAGCTGTAGGTGACGTTATCAACCACGACATCTCGTATTCTCCACAGCTGCGTTGCGCAGCTAACTAAACAAAAGCAATATTATAACAACAATTTCTTACTGCACTGATGTAAGTTCCATTCTTAACTTGAAATTCTTAAGTACACCGCAGCATGTTGTCTTTTTCAGTTTGTCCGTATCCATGAACTAGTAAAACAGCTCCAGCTGGCTTCTTCCTTCCCGCTGTGTCCCTTTGTGTTTGACCCAATAAATATCAATAAAGATCAAAATATGCTTGGACAAAATTACAATTCCCGAGCAAAAAGTTGCGTGTTTAAGTCTTAGTTCACAACTAACAATATACTCTAGAGTAAATAAGTCAAGTCGGCAACATAAAAAAACTGATTTGAAAAGCTCTTATCTTTTTGCTTCTTAATAGAGTTAATTCAGCAAACGCAGGTACCTAATATTAAAAGAGGCCACTTTCATTTCCTGCATCCACATCAGCGAAGAAAAAACAAAGCAAATCAGATAGCTAGATGCATGGGGAAAATAGCTTAGTCTTAATCGTACATAGTCTTGTCAATAGCGTAAAATCTGTCTCACAACTATTAAAAGAAAATTCATTACAACAATCTCGAACGAATAAAATTAGGTCCACTGCTCTCTGCTCAGTAATTGTTCAGTCCTTTGTAGTTGGTGAAAAACAAAACTCTTTATAGCCACTTAGTTATCTTCACTATTTTTTTCGTTTTACATTTTCTGGTCATTCTTTACTTTGCTTAACGTCATATCTATGTAATTTGAACAAAAATAGCCGTTTTTAACTGCGCATCAATCTCACGGTAATATATTAAGAATATATTGGATTTTGTTTACCAACACTGAGGTAAAGTTAAAGATAGTATTTAACAAAGCTAAATAGAGGATATTACATGGCCGCTTGGGGATACGAAATTTCTCTTCGAGTGTTGAAAAATATTTCACGAGTGGGCGCAGCGAACGAGTGAAATATTTTTTCAACACGAAATACCAAACCATTTCACCTTCATAGTTTTTTGGTGTGAAAGGCGCGATTTATTATGTAGCCATAGCAAAGGTGATATTTTCACATGTGTAGATAAGGGACTGTGCAGTAATTATCAGGAGGGGGGGCTGAAAAACTAGAATTATTTAGCAAAAACTTAGACAGTACCCCCCTCCAAAACAAAAAAAAATTAGTTCTAACTCCCCTCTGTTATGTTAAAAATAACCTCGCACCACCCACCCACCCACACACACACACCCACCCCTCACTGCCACCATTACCATAGATGCCTTTAAGTAAATACCTTTTATATTGTTATGCTACTGTAAACGAACGCTTACTTGTTGGATGTCGTCGTCTGGAACAAATAGTACCTCATATCAACAAAGCCATCCGTTTCGGAGTCATCCAAATCAGAGTTGTTTTGGGAAGTACTTGTGTGAGAATCAGAGTCGTATTCGGAATCACGGGATAGGAGTTCTGTGTCACTGTCATTGGCGCTATTTCTTTCGTTGTTTCGTGTTCCAGTATGCGAGAAATCAAGAGCACGTGCTACCAGCGCAGCTTTACTTCCAGATACATGAAGATTGTTCTGCTTAAGGCAGATCTTAATTTGTCTTGCTGTGAGGGATTTGACTTCATTTTCTTCTTTCCAGTTAATGTCTGGAAGGGTACTGCGTTCAGCTTCCCTTTTTTGAGCTTTCAATGCAAGAAACTCACGATGTTGAACAAAACTTTTGAGAGTGATTTCATCAACCATCAACTTCTCGCACACCTCCTGCATTTCTTTGGCGTTGGAAGAGGTTAACATACCAGAATCGACTAACTTCTTCACTTGCACACTTGGAAGTTGTCGATCGATTTCATCACTCAGACTGGTCACATTGGATGGAATATACCCGCGTGGTAAGGCTGCTGTATCACTAAGATCAGGAACAGGGAACCAATTTGCAGGGACACCAGCTGTCCACTCTTCCTTTTCACACGATTTACATGTGGGCTCACAAAAAAACTTCAGGTATTCTAAGAAGTAGTGCCCTCGTCGTACATGATCTTCCTTTAGCTTCTGAAGCTTCAAGCACATAGCATTTCCGCACATCTTTTCACGTTTATCAGCAGATGCCCTCCTCCACTGAACGAGATATTTGGCAAGAAACCGTATTATCTGCTTCTCCCTAGGGTAACTGGGGACAGAAATAAGAAAATCGTGTTTCTCAGGCCCTGGCTCGTCGTGGATTCGATCTGACACCTCTCTAGTTAGATTCCATGTATTTTCTACTTTCCATGATGCACAATGCTCTTCAATCTCTCTTTAAGTCATGTTATCCATTTGTTCAGCTGTGAGACCGTGAAATGGATCTATTGGTGGTTCAACTGGCTTACCAGTTGCCAGGGCTTCACCAATGGCGGCATTAGTCCTCTCAGCCTCGTTCTGTGCTGAGTCATGTGGTGCTCTGTGTAAACGAATACGATGGTCGGACTCAAGAGCCTTACAAACTAGTACAAAAAGGTCTTGAACTTCAACGTTGTGTACTCCCTCTCCTGGTCCTTTGTCTGTTAGCTCTAAAACAACAGCTGTTCGTATTGATATTTGTTACAGTCTATCATGATGCCTGTATTGAGAATCTTTTATTGCGTTTAATTTTATTTACATTTCAAATAAAACTTAGGGCCCCCCCTCCGTCAAATGAATGATTTTACTTTGAGCCCCCTTATCTTGGCAGCAATTTTATGTAATGCCCGGGCCCCTGTAGTTTTTCAGCCCCTCGCTCCCTCCTGATAATTATTGCACAGTCCCTGTTATTTTCACATGTGAAGATATCAAGTTTTCGCGCGAAAGCTCACCTGGTATTTGATTGGTGTTTATATACTGAAACATTATAAAAACAATTCCTACCTTTGCGACTAATCACCTGATGATCATTTTGATTCGACTTTTTAAAGACCTTTGAAGGTTTTTATTAACACTTACAGCCTACGTCAGTTTGTTTCAAGCTGACGAAAGCACAGTCAAATATTCGAATGTGAAATAAGGCAATTCAGACCATCTATTTTCTATCCACAATATTCAATGCCATTTTGATCACTGTTCCTCAGGTACTGATTTGTTTTGTCAGACAAAGTTTTATTCTCAGTTTTTGGCTCTCTTTTGTTACTATAATGTTGCTTAAGTGTAGGCTTAGCTACATAATTCCGGAATTTTTCTGGGGAGTTGTAGACATCGTTAAGAAGTTTAGAAAATCGCGGGAATTTTAGGGAAAAAATCGAGAATATTAGAGCAATTTGAACATTCACCCGACATTTTGGCGACATATCACGGCAAAAACGTTCACAAAACGTCTTTTGTTGTCTACTGAGCACAACAAATCAGCGGTTTTTCATCAGAGTCGTCTACACTATAACTTATCAGCGGTTATTCACCAAAAGGGGCCCACGCTATAAAAGGAAGAAATTTTTTGAGAATTTTTTGAGAATTTTAAACATTTCTAAAGCTTTTTTCGGGAAATTCCGGAAAGAATTTTGGGCCATATTTCGAGAATTATGTAGCTATGCCTACTTAAGTGGCCAAGGGCGACCAAGAGGGGCCTGCGATCATAATCCTCCGCATGATAGTCAGAACATAGTAAGCGCTGGTTGTTAATTAAACCCAAAGCCCGTTCCAGGTTTCAAGATAGTAATAGGCCATTTCCGAGTTTCAAAAATTCTCACTTTAAAAAGCATTTCTAAAGGCCTGTTTACGTGGAGGTGGGGAACACCAGGTAGGTGAGGTAACCCGCTTAGGTGGGTTAGAAAAATGACCTTCTTTTAATTGCAATCTTACAACTTCGCCATCCCGGGGTGTACTTTCTCAAGATTATTGAATGGGCGCTAAGCACGCAAACAAGAAAAATGCTGGTAAACCACTTGTTTTGGCGATTAATGCTCTTCTACACTCAACTTGCTGCTCCTGCTGCAACCTTCAGTGCTGTGGCTTTCTATTGTAACCTTCAATAATGATGCAAAACCATCGCCAAAGTGAATTTTGCACGGATTTGATTCTTCACGAATCGACCCTGGTTAGGCGGGTTACCCCACCTTGAACGTTTACATGGCAAAATTTGACCCCTGCTGAGAGAGTTACCCGGTATGGCAGATCGGGCTACCCGCCTTGGCGGGTCACCCCACCTATCATGTAAACGCGATCAAATTAAAACGAGAGGTTATATGGACAGGCGGGTTACCTCACCTACCTGGGGTCCCCCACCTCCATGTAAACAGGCCCTATGTGCATGAGAACTCTTTTGCATGAGAATAAAAACCATTTTCATATAAATGGTTTTGCACTTAGCCTCGCTTTGAAACAGAGGCTTCAGGCAACTCGGAAATGACCTTTTAAAAAATTGGAGTGCTTACATTTACATAAGCTAACTGGGTGGAAATCTTGTGTATAAACATAAAACTATAAAATTTTACTTGGTGGGAGAACAACTCGCTAAAGTTAATCAAAATCAGCGCACTGAGCGGACTTAAAGAGTAGGAAAAAAAACGCATCTTCTCAAATCACATGAAATTCAGCCAGGCCTACAACTAGTCAAAAGGCTTGCTACGTCCCTGCCCCATATTTTCTGAAGCTTCCCAAGTGCGAAGCCATTGACATGAAAATAACTTTTTGTAAATGAAACTCATTATCACAAGAAAGGTTTTGCACTAAGCCTCGTTTTGAAAGTGAGGGTGTTTGCAAACGTAATTGGTGTTACGGTGGCCAACTAGAAAACCAAATGGTTCACTCGGCCATCATACTCAAACTTTAATAATATATAGATTTAGCCAGGGCTAAAAGCGAAGCTCTCGTTAATATACTTATAATTTACTAGAACGAAGTACAAAATCGAGCAATGCTAAACGGCGACGGCAACGACAACTGCAAAAAAAAAAAAAATCAATAATTAGCAACAACAAAAACAACTTTGCACGTGCAGCACCAATTTTTTCTGAACATTTCTTTGCCATTGTTTTGCACGACCATAACGTGAAACTTTCTAGTTACACGTATGTACTCACCAAAGATTTTGTTACTAGACTAAATGTGTTCCTGCTCGCTTTTTTTTCACTGCCTCTCATTTTTTCCTTGCCGGCTTCTCCTTGCTGACCGCTAGTATTTCTCATTTTCTCACCCCCGATATAAAATGTTTATGTTCAAATGTTCCAACAAAAATCGTGTCCTTTGTTTTTTATCTCTCGCTCTAACTGTTTCCCTGTTATCCAAGTCATTGTAGAAATTAGAACTTAGTCGAAAAAAACTTGACTTTGTTGTTGTTTTTTCTCCCTAAAAGTCCGGGTGGCCACGCGAGTTCGCACCAAAAACCTTGAGTTCTATTAGGTTGCCATACCTGTTCAGTGATTGAGTTACTTTACATTGGTATGCCTGTGTTGCAGAAGGACGCGCGGCAGTCTTACCTATGGTGCTCCGCTGCTCGCGCTTTGCGCGCGCGAGAGTTCCCGCTATTAATTCAGTAGAAACGTTTATATTGTAAACAATAATCTAAAAAGGCTGTAACCTAGCACTAGTAAAAATGATGAGAGAAAATAAACTGAATTGAATCGAATTAAAACTCAGAAATAATCTTGACTATTGCCTTGTTTTCGCGACGTCCCTACTATCTGAGGCTGCCTGGCACAGGCAATGTAACTCGTAGCGTGAGCTTGGGAGGACTGTGATTTCAAACGACCAAAAACGCTTTGAGTGAAAACATGAACAAGGGTTCAACCGAAAGTTTGGAAAGGTAAAAAAGAAAACAAAACAAATTGTTGAGAAAGCCTTCTCCGGAAAATTAGCTAAAATTTGAAACCGCAATGCTACAGGTTTGAGCCATAAGTGGCTAAAAAGCGAACCACGACAACAAGACGGATTTCCCAACAAGACACAACTCCTTCATCGGAGTCAGAAATGATTATATAACCATGGACGTGGTCTATGGTGACACAGAACAATTTTGCCGTTTTGCTTTTTTTTAATCCGAGGAGTACAAGCTTTCCAACTTTCGCAAGTTACAGCCATAAAATAGTTAGAATTTTGATGCATTTCTGCTCTGTTAAAGGATAATAATACTTCAACTCGATAGTGCATGTTTAGAAGATAAAGGGCTGTTCAGCTCTGCAAATATACTCCAAATAGCAGATGTTGTCCGTCGAGTTCTCTTATTGCTACGTTTTTAGACAATCGTTCGTCGTGAAACGAGTAAAATGTTTCACCGACTGTTCGGCCATTTTTCTTTTCACAACCAAAACAATTTAACCTCGGCCCCAGGTCTTCTCGGTCAACGGTGCATTAACCTGCAACAATGCTGCACTTTTGACGTCATCGGTCGATTAATCGCAAAGTTCTTCTGAATTTGGTCAACAGTGGCTAATTATGGTGAATTAGGCGTGTGTCATCAGCCAACCAGAAAAGGAAATATTTTGAATGAATAATAATGTAAATTGTAAACCCTTTGTGTTTGTTGTTTGCTAAAAAAAATTGTTAAAAATAGTGGCCGGCTGTGCTGCCACTAATTAAGAGCAAGACAGCAAACGACTGTTAGTATTATGGGTAAAGGTGTCTGTTGGGCAAAGGACAACAATCACAGATCTTAATCCTGCTTTTATTTCTATTCAAAGGTCTTGCAGGCACATTAGGTTCAGTTTCCACCGCTCCCTCGGGTCAGGTCTAGTTCGACCACCCAAAGGAGGAGAGGGAGTTTCACCGGCTCATTTCCAGAACAGCGGCTGGCAATCGAGCCTACTTGCACATATCTTTCCACAAGTTTAGTTTTTATTGGGGTTGACTAGCTTTACATCTACACTTACAAAGAAAAGAAACCTGAGAAGAAAGACTTCTCAAGGCTTGCTTATAGTTTGTACTAAACGAAAAAAGGATGAGCGGATTAACAGCTGTACTTAAAGACGGAAAAACATAGAAAGTAAAGCCAGTGATTAATAAACATGTGTCCTGTACAAAAAGATCTGGACAAAAAATTCTAAGAACAAAATACATAGATAGTGGCGTCCAGCAGAGGAAAAAAGCAATGACAATAGTTATCAAGATTTTAAGAATTTTTCTGTTCTGCTGGCTTCGTCCCACTATATCTTCTGGTCTTGTTTGAATGTTACTGTTCTTGGTACTATGTTTCAGTTTTATCATTATCAGAGAATAAAGAACTACAATCGTAATCAGGGGAAGAATGTAAAATAGAGCGATGCCGTTTGCGTGAATACCTATTTTAGCTTCGTCCCTCACCATAAATCTACAAACTCTTCGGTTCTCTACTGTAGTTATCTCGGAAAAGATTAAGTAAGGAAGAACACCAAGCAAAGGTACCAGCCATGATACCACGAGTAAGCTGACTCGAATTTTGCGATTCATCACAGCAAATTTAAAGGGAAAAACGATAGCAACAAATCTGTCCACACTAATCAACACAAGACTCAGAACGGAGACTGTCTGAGATAACGCCCTAAAATACATTCCCAGCTTGCATGCAGCCAAAGCCGAAGACCCACCGATAAAAACAGTGCTACTCAGCATGCCTTCACAGACGTACAGCGGCCAAATGAAAAATGGACCAATGAAGTCAGAGACAGCCATGCTCACGATGTAGTAATTAGTGCTTGTCCGTAGGCTGGGGGTCTTGAAAAAGGCTGTGACAATAAGCATGTTTCCGATGAAAGTTACTGCAGTTATTAGAGCCAAAATCGATGTAAAGAATGTAGACGCCATCCAAGGGCAACCAGAAGATGAAGAGTTTAGTGGATGTAATGTGGAATTATCCATTATTAAATGACTTGCTTGAAGCTTGATTTCAGCGCGGAAAGCTAAACGGATAAGAATATTGTCAAATTAGGTTCAGTAATTCACGGAATAGAGTACTTAACTGCTAAAACTAGATATAACACTAAAGATTGCAAAACTGGGGAGCGGTGTATTAGCTATCAAATCCTGTATCGAACCACTATGAATGGCGTGAATTACTCTGATCAATAGGCGGTAGAAAATTTTCGTCATTTATTTCAGACAGGAAAAAAAAACAATATCCTCTGGTCAGGTCTCAGAGTTTTTATTTGTTTCCTTTCGTCATGTTTTGCGATGCCTCCCATTCATTTTCGGACACTGAAGTTTGAATCGTACACGCCAGCCCGGCGTGCGTTTGTATATTCTTAATAATTTGTCCAAACTTTTAATCGTAAGAATATAGTTCACTTATACATGCGTGACGGCTTGCCTACAATTGGGATGTTCAGTCAGTTATTAACTGTATTGGTTCGTTTAGTTTTCTGCCAGTTGAATTCACAGTTAAATTTGGCATTGTCTTGCTATTTGTAGCACTAACCGTTAAGAATAAGCTTAATAAAAAGAACGAACTGCAAATGACTAGAGTGACCCAATCATACGGTTGCTGCTTGATCCAGTTTTCACCGTTTACTCAAAGGGGCTAGGTCACGATGATTTTGCGGTTTTAGGTCAATTATGGCTGAATGAAGTCATTAGCCAGTGCCTTTATCCAAGCAAAAAATGCTTCTGTCACTTTATGAAGTAGATACCAAAGAAATTTCATCAGGGAGCAGTGACCACAACATTTTTTTGGTGATTTATGCAGTTATTGAATTAACATTCGAAAAAGGTGGCCCAACTTTTTGAAGTTTCAATCCATGTCTACCCTTGCCATCCTGTGCGACTGAAACAGTTTCAATACCTAAATATAGTCTTGAATAAAAAAACTGGAATGTTATTTTGGAATTAAATTGAAGGGAAAAAAATTGTAGCTTTTTAAAAAGATAGCAAGTACTGCGATCCTTTGAGTTGACTCACCTGGTGTTCCACGTTCTATTCACTGAAGTGTGGTAGCTCAAGCTGCTGTAGAGTTCTACATCTGATCTCAGACCATGTACTTGTCGTAACTGTTACTCTGGCAAGCCTCCTTCTCTTACTTCACCATGAAGTATTACAAGCTAATATAGGTGAGTATTTTATTTAGCTGTTGCTAGGTGACGTTAATATCTCGTACGTGACATCCATCCCCGAGGAAAGCAAAGTTCTAAACCATGCATGTACCGTTTGTCAATAGAAGGTATATGAAAGGGGATACTTTTTTGTCAAAAATGGTATATAAAAGGGTGCATGTGAGGGGTTGGACCTCACGGCGGAGCCTCCCCGTATAAAACTTTGTTAAACAGCCCCTCCCGTCATCAACAAGTCCAACAACAACGTTGCGCAATCAAACTGAACAAACTGGTTTACAATTTCCTATTGCACTAATATACGTTCTACTATTTTTAAATAAAAGGAAACAGTATATTGCCATTCGCAATTCATTGGTTTCTATGAACCAGTAAAGCTCAGTAGAACAGAACTAATTAACCAAGTGGCTATCTTTTCCACTGTGGCCCTTTGTGTGTGATCTAATAAAGATCGTACTGTGATAAGAAATATTCTCGAGCATATTGCCTGAGTTCATTACCATGAATATCAATGTAACACTAATATATGTAATACTCTGAGATCATTTATACTATCATATACTTAAAAGTAAATACGTCACTTCCGGCAACAAACAGGAAAACTTATTATGACAGTTCAATCTTATAGTGCTTCTCTATACCAATGACCAATGACCAATGACATGTTCAATTGAGCAAATACAGCCCAGCAATTTCTAGAGCTCGAGAAACGCTGAATATTTCCGGATTATCGTTACTTTCCTCTAAAATATTCTTCTAACTTACTTATAATTTTGGGGCGTTGTATGTTTTTGCATTTAACTATCAAGATATTGCTATCATTGAGAAAAAAAAGGTCTACTGAAAATTTAGCCTCCAAGAATCTGATGAAATGACGGCTACCTCATGTATATGTCCGCGCACTTTCGACCGAATCCACCATGGTAGTT